ATTATTTAAACATTGTATACAGTATGCATTATTATAAATCTGATCAGTTTCAGTTCGAAATTACTATAATTAAACTGCAGACTTCCATGTTAAATAAAACATTCATAGTACCTAATAGAGAGATGCATTTTAGATAGACATTTCGTTTATTATTTGAACATTGCAATATGCACTACTATAAATCTGATCAATTTCAGTTCAAAATTACTATAATTAAACTGTAGGCTTCTAAGCAAAATGAAACACTTGTAGTGTTGTCAGAAATATGTATTTTAGGTAGACATTTCGTGTATTATTTGAAGATTGCAATATGCACTACTATAAACCTAATCAATTTGAGTTAGAAACTACTGTAATTAGACTGCAGACTTCTATGCTAAATAAAACATTCACAGTACCTGTTAGAGAGTTGCATTTTAAGTAGACATTTCGTTTATTATTTGAACATTGCAATATGCATTATTATAAATCTGATCAGTTTGAGTTAGAAACTACTGTAATTAGACTGCAGACTTCCATGATAAATAAAACATTCACAGTACCTGTTAGAGAGATGCATTATAGATAGACATTTCTTTTACTATTTAAACATTGCACCGGGCATTCACATTTTAATATTTATAAACCTGATCAGTATTTCATGTAAGGGATTTACTTTATTGTTGAATAAATCTGTTCACGAGTGTAGCTTGTTTCCCTACCGACGCATATACTTTATCAGCAACAAATACGTATTAATGTTTTTGAGCTACCTACGTTACTCGTTATCCATACTTCCTCTATAATTACAAGCTCTGTACCGATCGAAAATGATGCGCAATTACGACGGGTCATATTATGAAATAATATCATTAATCCCAATTAATTGATATCCATTAGAATACAATTTACCCTGTTAAACGTTGTAGCGTCAATCTTTTCCGTAATATCCGATGAACCAGTACATTAATATCTGCGCTGGCATGATCTCTGTGAAGTAACATGCATTCAGTTATTCATCGGTCGATCAGCAAATCGGCCACTTCATTTATCAAACGCAATTTAAGACCGGTTTAAGTCAATGAGAATATAAACTGAAACACCGTGTCGTTAAAATAACACGTTTATGAAAAGAGCGCTTGTTCACGTTCTTAAGTTTGTTATGTTCAAATCCCGATTAATAAAAATAACTGCCAGATTGCCGTGATGCACGTGTATTCCGGCGAGGTTTCGCCGGGATTTCTCCTTCGTTAGCGAGCGTCGCGTCCGCAGGATTCCCCGTAGGATTTATGCATACACGTAGGATACATCGCGACGCAGCCGAGGAGTAGGTGGTAGGCCGATTCCCCGGGAATCTCTCGATAATCGTCGCCGTGTAATCGCATTTGCACTCGAACCGACAATTTATGACCAGTCACGTCACGTGCCAAGCGTACGCGTCCACCTTCGCGCCAGGCCGCCGCGCTGCACCGGTTCTGATTAATGCGGCTCTCCTCCATTCGTGGAAATAAATGTACAGACCGGTGCACTCGTCTCACCCAAAACGCTGGACTATCTGTCGTTCATAAAAAATAAATGAACATTCAGAGACTGCATTTGAATCTCGTTTCTAGAATAGAAGTTTTCGTAGTTTGGCTAAAAATAAGTAAGCTTGAATCTGTCTGTTTTTGATCAGCCAAATTTGATGTTCTTAAATTACTAATTGATCACGTCGTCGTTAAACTCGGGTAACAAAATAGGATTGAGAAAGAAGAATCGTTCCCTTTGTAACTTACGCTTGATCAACTGGTACTTCCGAGAGTAATCGTATGCGAGCAAAGTTAAATGGGAGAAAATTTGAAACGGAGCGGCGTTAATTGTCTAAGTGCGAGTAAGCAACGGGACGGGGGCGGGGCGAGGGTAAAATTCAAAGGAGGCGAACGGTGGACGACGACGTGTGCACGCTCCAGATACGGTACGCGTGTGCTCCCTTGCTCGGTGTATATTCGGAGCGTGTTAGCCCGGCTCCAATTCATCTCGTCGAGTGTCATCGCCGTTGTCGTCGTCGACGGTGTCGGTTGGCAAAAAGCCTCTTTCACGGTCCCGGGATTCCGCGCCATCTTTCCCGGCTTACCCGGTTTTTGCGCTCTGCTCGCGGACCCAAGTCCGATAATGCGAGAACTACGGGAACTACTCGCTTGAATAACCGATGAAAACGAGGCCTAATACAATGACCCCTTGTTCGTCTCCCAGGTTAATTAAAACTTCCGACCGACGACGGATCAATCATACATTAAATATTCAGTGAGAACATTATTTACGTATTTAAACGTTCCCGACCCTCGTTCCCCGTTTAAATGGACTTATTACGGAAATAGCGGCACAATTTATAGGATAACCGCGTGCGTCTTAAATTTCTCCCGTGATGCCGGCAAGAGGAAAATAAGGGAGAGAAGAAGGATTTCAGGCAGCTGTACAAAGAAGGAATAAAAAGTATAACGAGCACCCCTTATTAAGGTCCATTTAAACGGTATTTCGTCTAATTGCTTCATCTGTTTCTTAGTACCCGAGCGAGCTCTACTTTAAAAAAAAAAAAAAGAAAAACGAAAAATCCCATGTTCTTTCCCTCTCCAGCAAAGTTCGTCAGTTTCCGTTCACGTGTCCCTGCCGCTTCCACGGATCTCCTTTGTCCGCGCGGGAGAACTTATTTCCAAAAACTTATTTCTCGACGCACGGATCCTTTATCTTCCTTTGTCCTCCTGTTGTTTCTCCATCCCCTCCCCCCCCCTCCCGTTACACGTACTTTTTCTGTTTTTCATTTCCGATTTGCCATTTCATTCTTTGTAACGCGCGTCTCCTTCTTTTCACGATTCCTTTTCGCCCCTTTTTAAACCCCGACAGAAGAGGGCGAGACTTCTATTCCCGGCTGCGTTCCGAGACTTTTCCAGCTGCCCGGCCGGCACGGTTCCCATTCTTAGGCGTGTGCTCTGCGAATTTCTCTGTTCCATTAGCACAAAGGGGGAAAACGCGTCAGACGCGCGTTCCTCGAACATCGGAATTAGAGAACTTTGTCTAGTTCAGGGCATTGGTTATACGCAGTCAAAGGGACTTAATTGAAGACGAGCCAAGACGCGAACCGAAGTAGGGCCGCCGGTGCTAATTAGTCAATTGAACAATTAAGAAAATTCTTATATTCTCGTATTAAAAATTATTCATACTGTTCTCTACGTCGTCGGAATGGTGTTCCTTTCGTTTATCACCCCTTTCACGACATGTAACGTCGTATAAACGATATATCAACAGAATTGTATGCAACAGCTAGTCGCAAACAATTTTCGCAAGAAATTCGCAAAGTAAAAGTTACGGTGGGGAAAAGCCGTATACTAATTTGCGAACTCCGGTGGTTGCGCGCTTTAACGTTGGGAAGACATAATGATTCATTAGCGCAAAAGGGGAAAAACTTTTTGCCCGACGCCTCTTAGGAACAATTTGTCGAAGAAGCCGCGACTCTTTGTCGCTGGGCCGCAAGGGAAATGTCGTACACAGTAGAAACGTCGCGCGCGCGCGCGCTCCAACGCCGGTTATATATTTCTCCGGTTTACAGAAACAATATGCCTAAGCGGTGGTGCGCCCCGGCGTCGACGTGATATTACAAACCTTGATTTATATCGTCCATTCACGCTCACACCGGTACACCAGTAATGCACGTGCCACCACCACTACCACCACCGGTGCCGACGCCGCCGTCGCCATTAGAACTCTCTGCTCCCCTGCTCGCTTACATTCACTAGGGAATCCGCCAGTTCGGATCATTATGACGTAATAAACGTCCTTAGCACTCCGCGTGTCACCCCCCGTGTCTCTTACCGATGCAAACGCGAGCAAGACGCCTCGCACCGATCATCGTCTGGTCTTCCGAGCATTCTGCATTATTCCTCAGACAAATACTCGATACGAATACACCGTCGCTTTAACAACTGCGGAACTTTGATATTCAGGGAATCGCATTTTTAACTGTTCCCGAGACGCTCGGTGTGAATAGACTTCCGTTTTAACGAATGTAGGGGAAAACTGGATGAATCGATTTCTGTACAATTATTTTTTAATCAAACGGGATGTATTAATAAAGGGATTTCATTTTAATGATACTCGCAAAGTATCAAGAATATGTACAGTGGTTTCTTATTAAACGGGGGGGGGCGAGTCAGCCTATTCTAATATTTCCGTGCAATATCGACGGTAACGTCGTTACGAAACAGGCCACAGTTTGTATAATGCGATGGCCGATCGCGAACTCTGTATTCTCGTAATATTCTTTTATGGAAAGATTCCCTTCGAGAGTATAAGTCTTGGCCCAGAAAACGAACAGCAACGTTTCCCTCAAAAGGATTCTCTATAAGTAATACGTACTTCCGGGAAGCTGCCGCGATATGTAACAATACGAATACCACGTGCTAGAATATGTTGCAAGAATTTATTTGTCCTTTATCTGAAACTGTAATTTTATAGGAAAAACAAGAAATATTAAATATGAAATATAAATGAACCGAATTAAATTAAATATATTTATTATTATTATTATTATTATTATTATTGGATTGGCAACTAAATAATTGCAGACTTATTTAAAATCCGCAATCACTTAGTTGCCAACCCAATTATATTATATAATAATTAAAGTAACACTGGAAAGACTGAAACTTAGTATATACCTAT